AAAACAGAGACCGCCGGATTCAATGGCTTTCCGATGCCGTCAACAGCTCCCCCAATCTGACCTTCACTCTAACCCGACCCGGATTCTCCGTAGTTTTGACCGCAAATCCTTCAAATGTGCAGCATATCCTCAAGACCCGTTTCTCTACTTACCCAAAAGGGGCTTTCTCGCAAGCCAATTTAGCTGATTTTCTCGGCGACGGAATCTTCAACGTCGACGGCGAGAAGTGGAAGTTCCAGAGGAAGGTCGCCAGCCACGAGTTCAACACGAATTCCCTCCGGAAGTTCGTCGAGACCGTCGTCGATACAGAGCTCTCCGACCGGTTGATTCCGATTCTGTCCTCTGCTGCCCGGGAAAAAAAGGTTCTTGATTTTCAGGACATTCTTCAAAGATTCGCTTTTGATAATATCTGCAAGATATCTTTCGGGTATGATCCCGGGTATCTGTTGCCGTCGTTGCCGGAGACGAGATTCGCGGTGGCGTTCGAAGAAGCTGTTATGATCAGCAGCGCGAGATTTGACACAATCACCCCTCTGTTCTGGAAATTGAAGCGATTTTTAAACATCGGGTCCGAGCGGAAGCTCCGGATTGCGGTGAACGATGTGCGGGAATTCGCCAAGAAGATCGTCAGGGAGAAGAAGAAGGAGCTGGATGAGAAGTCAACGCTGGACTCCGTTGACCTTCTGTCCCGATTCTTGAGCTCCGGCCACTCGGAGGAGAGCTTCGTGACGGATATCGTCATAAGCTTCATCCTCGCCGGCCGGGACACGACGTCCGCCGCCTTGACTTGGTTTTTCTGGTTGGTTTCCCAGCATCCGGAGGTAGAGGATGAAATTCTGAAAGAGGGGCGATCGACGTCGGAGGAGACGGTGTACGAGGAGGTGAAGGACATGGTTTACACGCAGGCCGCCCTTTGTGAGACGATAAGGCTTTACCCGCCGGTTCCGGTGGACACAAAGGCGGTCGGAGAGGACGACGTTTTGCCGGACGGAACAGCCGTGAAGAAGGGGTGGAGGGTGGGTTACAATCCGTACGCGATGGGGAGGGCGGAGGAGCTGTGGGGGAAGGACTGGGCGGAGTTCCGCCCTGAGCGGTGGCTGAAGAGGGATGAAGGCGGGAATTTGAGCTTCGACGGGAAAGACCCATATGTATATCCGGTGTTTCAAGCAGGGCCGAGGGTTTGTTTGGGGAAAGAAATGGCTTTCTTGCAGATGAAGAGGGTTGTGGCCGGCGTCTTGCGGCGGTTCAGGGTGGTGCCGGTGGCGGAGAAAGGCGTCGAGCCGGTCTTTATATCGTATCTGACCTCAAAGATGAAGGGCGGTTTTCCGGTGATGATTGAGGAGAGGTCCACTGCAATTTGATACTAATTTGATTTGTTAAACCGCTTCTACCAATATTTTTCATGACTTTTGTGTTTACATTATGCGGTATAACCGTATAAGTATAACTGTTTTAGTATGTTTTTTGTGTTAGCTGCATAATTCCAAATGTATTGAAAGCTTATTCTATTTTGTTAGACAAAAAAGATTGGTTGTCGACTTGTCGTTAACGATAATGGCATGTTTAGTTGAATTAAGACACTTATAATTTCATAAAATATTACTAAAGTCAAACTTACAAAAATTAACTAAAATAAATACTACGTACTCGTTATAAGTTAGGGAAAATGGAAACTAATAATCCAACCTTTTAGCGGTCTTCTTTTAATAGTCTCACCTTTTCGTTATTCATGAATAATCCAACTTTTGCACCTCATCTTCATTCATTGGTCTCTGACCGGTTGATGACCTGCTATTCCAAGTTATTTTCATATCTTTGCAAAATATTATCTTTGTGAAAGGTGGAATTTATGGTATAATAGTTTGCAGAGATGAGAAAATAACTCGGAATAGCAGGTCATCAACCGGTCGGGGACGAATGAATGAAGATGAGGTGCAAAAGTTGGATTATTCATGAATAACGAAAAGGTCGGACTATTAAAAGAAGACCGCTAAAACGTTGGATTATTAGTTTCCATTTTCCCTATAAGTTATGGGAATGTCCAAGTTTGTTTGCTATCTTTTGCATTAAATTAGGGAGAACCGGACAACTCTCTCCCCCCACTCTGATCTGTTTGAAGTTTGCATGTCTTGTAAGGTCGTTACAACTACTTACAAGTGCAGCCGGCATGTCATGTGCATAGTATGCCGGATCTGATACGGTACCGTTTTGATTAATAAAAATTAGTCATCCTCTTCATCTTTGTTCGCCGATTCCATCATAGCAGCTCCAAGGCAAGCTTTCTCCTACTTTCTTCTCCTTTTCTTCCTCCACTTCCTCCTTCTCCTGTCTTTTTTCTCTGTTAATGTATTAATCAAACTTCCTTGTTCTAGAAGATTTATGATTGAAAGCAAATTCTTTTGATTTGATTTGGGAGGTAGCATATTATTCCAATTCAGATTAATCTGAATTTTTTCCATTCTCATGGATGTTGACATGATGATATCGCAATTTACATTTGAATCAAAGCAGTTTACGTTTCAATGAGTTACATTTCATATAGCCATGGGAGCATGGTGCTCACCATGCTCCGGTTGCACGGTATACAGACTGTCATATGCATGACACCTATCGGCATTGCTAATTGGACTAGAAAATTGTAATCAGCATCTATCCAAATTTGAACATTGACACCATTTTCAGCTCACCTCCTGATATTATTCTTCAAAACATTACGAGATTCAAAAGTTCTACGCCATTTAAAAGAAGGTTCTAAGAATATTATGAAATTCAAAAATACTACGTCCAAAAAACCGAGTTTGGAAAATGTCGAGCTTTAAACACTCGACACATAAGATGATAATACAACTAGAATTCGTTGCCAACTTCTTCCCCCGCTAAGCCAACATAGCTAAATATAACTCCCTTAGCTTCTAAAGCACTAAGCCTCCAAGAGTCTTCGGTTTGCACAAACACTCTCATCTCCGCCATTTGAGACCCTTTTGGTCACACTTCGATCCCTTTCACCAAAATCCATTCATGATAGTTTCAATCTCATTACACAACTCGCGGTGTAATAAAAAAACATTCATCGCATAAGTCGGCATTGCTTGAGCCATATTTTGAAGTAGAACAACTTGACTCACAATCGAGAGAAATCTATTATTACAACTTTTAATCTTGTTAATATTTCTATCACGTAAGTACCCCAGAAAAGTGGTCTTACTTTTCCCCTCCAGAGCAGGCAGCCCCAAATATCTATTCTGGCCTCCGTCTCGTAGGACCCCTAAAATAGTTCTACTATCCTCCCAAAACTACTACCCATATTTGAGCTAAAGGATATATTTGACTTGGGTAATTAATCGCCTAGCCTGACATGCGTTCATAGTCCTGCAAAATTTGTCTAACTGCACTTCATCCGTTGTTAAATGCCTTAAAGAAAACGATAACTATCATCCCGAAATGAAAGATGAAATACTTGTGGTGCCCCCACCACCACAATAGGGGTCTGGTTCTGGAATATCGAATCCGACATGGAGTGAGAGTGAGGCGGATGAGAGAGTTTGTTTTTCGTTTGTGGCACAAGTGGTATCAGATAACCTATCCGCCTCATCTCCTTTCATGAAACTATGGTCATGGTTTGGAGACCAGCTCGAGCGTCACTGTTGAAGAGATTGGAGGATCAAAGTTCCTTCTCCAAGTTTACCATGAAGGATATATTAGCAGAATTGTAGAGGAGGAACCTTAGTCCTTTGAGCAAAATTTGGTGATAATAAGGCGATGAGGGCATACTAATAAGCCTCTTGAAGACGTGTCTTTGGATCATGCAAACTTTTGGGTCCAGGTTCACAATTTGTCTATAAGGTATATGATGGCTAAAGCAACTCGTGGGATTGACAACAGTATTGGGACTTTTGTTCAGATTGATGAGCTTCTCTCAGTGGGAAACAGAGATTTGTCTATAAGGTATATGATGGCTAAAGCAACTCGTGGGATTGACAACAGTATTGGGACTTTTGTTCAGATTGATGAGCTTCTCTCAGTGGGAAACAGAGATTAGTTTTGCGCATTAGAGTTACTATTAACATAAATGTGGCTATGACTAAAAGGTTGCAGGTTCGACAAGGAGACAATTAGATCTCGACAAATTTTAGGTATGAAAGACTCCCAAATTTTTGCTTCCTATGTGAGATACTTGGTCTTGCGGACGGCTTTTGTCCTTCCAATTAAACAATGGCCCTTCAGTAAAAAGCCATGAGTCGTTGTCGCGTGTTGATACAAGATGTGGAGTGTACATCCGAGGAACAGATGGTCCTAGTGATAACAGGCCTAGCGATAGACAGATGGTCCTAGTGGTCACTCGGATAGAGTTATGGTGGAGCAAGGTAGCTATGTGGTGGAAGGCTTAATATCAAAGGGCAAGAAAGTGACTTCGCAACAGGAAGATCCAAGGAAGCGTAGGGTGATCGAGATGGGCAAGAGGGCACCCCAACTAGCATGGATGTCAATGGTGTGAATCCAAAAAACTTGCCATGACGTGATGTCCAAAGAGCACCGCCCAAACGAGTGATGGGGGGCCTCTGTGGTGATGAAGATGGACCTTCTATGGACTCTTGATAGTTTTATCACTCATTTTTGTGACGAATGCTGCATTGCTTCTAGTGAAATGAAATCTACTTCTCATGAGGTCAGCAGATAAGGTCACATTTCAACGGTCTTCTAGCTCTGTGCTCATCCCAATGTAACCTTTAATGCGACGGCTTTGCATCTGATCATCAATTTTAATATGAATTAAGTTATCTCTTACAAAAAAAAGAGTAGTTACATAATACTAATTTATGTTCATTTTAATTTTAATTTTGGTAAAGCACATTTTTCAATGAAATTTTAGTAACATATTTCTGTATTAAAATTCATTAGAAAATCAAGATATTTTAATTTTAAGATTAATAATTCGCTAAGATTCAGGCTTATATATTTATATCTACATAATATTCTATATTTCAATTCTTAGATTGATATCTAGCATATCTTCTTATCCTACAGTCTACACTTTATTTAAATTTAAGAGAGAAATTAATCCTTCCAAAACATAAATCCCATGCATATCCTTACAGGGAACCAAACTCCACAATGTATCCACACATTACATGAATAAAATGAAACCTGAAGTTATAGATCCGATGTTGTTGAGGACAATAACAGAAGAATCCACATTAACACACATCAAGATTTCATTTGTCTCACTGCAGTAGTTCTGCATTGTGCATGCAAAATTCTCCCTACGCCCATCCATCATACCAAGTGTAAAATACTCTAATAACCATAATTGGCTCCATAAACAGAAGCGTAATCTGATCCAGGCACATGTCCTGCGTGACCACCAGCGGCATTCGTAGGTGGTGAATTGTATACAGCTCCTCCATGAGAAGGGTAGGCGTTGTTGTAACCTTGTGTAGGAGCTCCACCAGCAGAATTCTGCATACTGCTTGTGACATCAGCAACAAAATTCTGCAAGTATGATTACACCGATCATATCACTTTACCAATCATTTGCTTCATTCATGGCACTTGCGCAATTGATTTAAGACGAAAAAGAAGAATGACAATTTAATTTTTTTTCACTAAAATGGATGAGGAATGGTGCGATACTGATACAACTATCTTTAATTTTAGATATTTCCTCCCGTTTTCTATCATCACCTCAAATAGAGTTTGACAGGTTATCAGATAAAATTTAGTATAGCGAGTAATAAATGAGAAAAGTAAGAAAATGAAGATCAAAGGCAAGGGTATTTATGTATGTATTTAGTTCTGGTAGAGAAGCAGATACATTCGTTAATAAAAAGGGGGTAACTTTTTTCTTTAATTTATTTTAAAAATATTCTTTTAAAATAACATTAAAAAAATAGTACTTTCAGCCGCAACATTAGCAGATTCAAATTCAGCCACTTCTATCTTGTTGAGACTTGCGAAATGGGCTATAAAAATATCATAAAATTGAAAATAATAATCCCAACTATTGCCGATCCGCTGAAAATAATCTCAACTATTGATTATTTTTGTATAATCCCAACTATATAGACTATCCGCCAAAAATGGTCCATGACCATATATTACCTCTATAAAAAGTGAATTTTAAATAGAAATTAAGCGTAAAAATTAAAAGTTGAGATTATTTATAGGGATTACTTGTTATATCTCATCTCATCCACTTTAGAAACTACAAGAATTTATTCATAGGGACCATTATTGGCGGAAGGTCCCTAAAGTTGGGATTATTCTGTAATAATCAATAGTTGGGATTATTATGAGCGGACCGCCAATAGTTGGGATTATTACTATCAATTTTTCCATTTTTATATTGGTACAAGACACGCGATGATGTGCAAATACCTGAATTAACTGCTGGGCTGTTTGAACTTGTGAAGCGGTCCCATTTATTTCAACAGTCATCTCACCTGGAACACCTCTTGTTTCTTGTATGGCTATAGTTGCGCCACTGGTGCGCCTGATGTAGCTAATGTTAGAACCAGATGCCCCAATCACGGCATCAGCATACGATAAAGGAATTTGCATGTTTTGTGTGACCTTATAAACCAAAAGCATCAAGCAGAGATTGTGAGAGAAAATCACACGAAACAAGCGACACCAAATAGTGCATGGAACAAAAAAACAGGTTGTTTCTTTAGTGAATCCGGTTTGCTTCTTACAACTTTAATACATTAACAAAGATGGACCTTAACAATGCTGATATTGATTAAGTTGACTAGAGTTTTCGTAACAGGTGGATTTCGAGCATATGGGTTTTGATGATGAGTAGCAGAGTAGGCACCAAGGATTCCCTAATCATTGCCTCTTACTACAGCAAGATCACCGAGTCTTAATAAATCCTCTGAATTTCAAGTGCCTAGAAATATTTTAGTCCATATCCATCTAATGTAGTTTAAAAATGTTTAGATTGATTATTAATAGCAGATTCAAGTTTCCCAAATTAAGGGAGTGGTCGAACATCACTCTTTTGGTTGATGGAGAGGAACTATCTTTAAATTCCCTAATCATTGCCTCTTACTACAGCAAGATCACCAAGTCTTAATAAATCCTTTATGAATTTCAAGTGCCTAGAAATATTTTAGTCCATATCCATCTAATGTAGTTTAAAAATGTTTAGATTGATTATTAATAGCAGATTCAAGTTTCCCAAATTAAGGGAAGTATAAGTTTTGGTCGAACATCACTCTTTTGGTTGATGGAGAGGAACTATCTTTAAATTCCTTTGAAAATTCAAATTGTAATACAAGTACTTCCTTATAAAGAGAACAAGAGTAAAAATACAGAATCTAACCTTTGCAATCATTGATTGTTGTGGCTGCATACTTGTTGAATGACCTCCAATGGGTGCATCTCTATCATAACCAGGAACAGATTGACGTGGTTGTTTGTCCAAAGGAGCCATATCTCCCTGTGGGTAGTAATTGTCATATTGACGAGGAGGGGGCATATATTGTTGGCCGGGTCCAAAGCCAGGTCCACCGCCAGGAAAACCAGAATGAGGAGGTCCCCAAGATGGTACCGGACCAGGTGGGGGCATGTTTTGGTTTGGACGTGGATTAGGCAGTTTCATCTGAACAAAACAAACATTTAAGATAAAACAGGATGATATGAACATGCTAACACAATAATTTACCTATTTTTGAATCAGGTAATACGAACTAATATCAAATTCCTAAATCAATAACAGAGCTGTAGAGTTACCTGCATTTCAAATACACTTATAACACCACGATCAACCAAAAATTTCCGAAGGTGAGTGGCAATCATTTCCACTGCTTTGTGAACTCCAGCTGACTCCCCCTGCACCTCTACAACACTATCATCTGGAAGTGCAAAAACAGGCAGGTGCTCTGCAAATATGTTTCAAATACATTATCTCCTCCATAAAAAAATGCATTATCTCCTAAGAATGGGTACACAACACAAACTTATTCTGATGAAAAAGTAGAGGTCATATGAGATGCAAGAAGCATCATTGATGCATGGATAATTAACATGTTTGTCAAGGCAGCTAGGTGAGGCACGGTGCGAGCTGCCACCTTATCACCTAGGGAGTTCAGGTGAGACCAGGAATGGTGGAACTCCCCCACTGCCAGGACACAAATTCAGCGCCGTGATAACAATGAAAAATAATGAAGAAATGCAATTAAGCGTTTGAAAAACAAACTAAGGAATACAATACAACATGCTTAAAGCAAGGAATAGCATTTAAGAATCCTGCATTTCAAGATGACATGAAAATAATTGTATGTTAGTAAAAATACATTAAATTTGATGTTTTACAGGATGATTTACATTCTCCCTCTACCCACTACGTTTGTTCTTCATCATGGCTAGCAAGATTTATATAGCTCAAACATACCCTGGTCCCAAACTTAGTGGGACAGAACAATGAGTATACCTCCCTCTTTTGTCCCTGTTTTAAAGCTTCCAAATTGATCATTAATATATTTATATACATATTATTAAAAAAAACGAACTGATATTTCAAAAACACCTCAACACAAACCTAACAACAGTACAAGACCCACTCTGTTATAATTTATATGTTTGAGTTCATGAATAGAAAGCAGAGAGCGAACTAAAAGTTGGAGAGGGCAACCATTAAAAGTGAGTTCATTGACCTTGATATGGGGGCTCCAGATCAATCATTAATATAATCATTATATATATTATATATGTGTACTATTATTCTTTTATGAAAACTGATATTTCAAAAATACACCTTGAGGAATGAGGCTGATCTAATGAGATCGGTTTTATATGTTCATAAAATCAGTTTCTATAAACAAATATATTCAAAGTTTCCTAAGTTTGAATACATCAATAGAAAGTCAGAAATTAAATAAAGGTTGGAGAGACGAAAAGTAAGTTTGACTACATTTTCACTCTTCGGTCCTTGATGATGATAGCATGGTTTTGCTTGTAGAAAGACATGCTTTCCTTAAAATTTGGTGGCTGCGAGTATTGACTAATAAACATCTAAGCGATAATGACTAAAAGGAGTGACCCTTTATATATTAAGCATTCGATAAAATTACAACTCGAGCATTCTTGGGGAGAAGTAAGCTGGTAAAAAATTAAGGGAAATTTCCCAGAAACCAAAATAGTAAATTACCATCTCCAAGAACTCGGATAGTACAGTGAGAGGTATCCTGGATGGACTTGATGGTGGACCCTTGCTTCCCAATTAAACTTCCGGCCTGTGTAGCTGCAACAAGTAGTCTTGTGCAAACTGTTCTCCCATTGCCTGCGGGAGCATTGGCTGATTCTGAGTCAATCTCAGCAACACGATTATGGACCCTAAGTAGGCCATCCATTGCAGGAGAAATAGAGAGGCCAGGTTCTTCTTTGGCAGAAATCATAACCTGAATAGCATTATGTGCATAAACTAGTCAATTTATACGGTATATGATAAGTTGAACATTCATAAAAATATATATTAATATAGAATACTTTAACCAATATGTGCATCCTGAATTACCAGAAGATTGGTTCAATCACAACCAGGAGGTCTATAATATGTGGAGATAAATATCCATTAGCACCATGATAGAACCTGAATGCTAAGATCTGATGCATTACAAGCTTTGTCTAAATTAAAATTTAGACCTCTTTTTGACAAGTCCTTAACCGGCTACGCCAATATTTTTATATTACCAGTTTCTTTTAATCTATTGAGTAGTCCATTTATGCATAAAGTGCACACATGTGTAAGAAGTGTAGCTTACTCCATTATATCTTCGTGTGCATAGAGTATATCCACAATTATTGTTTGACAATTAAAACTTCTATAAAATTAACAATTTCCAGAACATCTTTGGTGTCACTTTTTTTAATGTTTGGTGTTTTGACAGACCAGTTATTACTTTTGTAACTGAAATATTTTGATCGTTTCTGTTATATTTAGTTTAACTTAATTAATTAATTTAGTATTGTTGGACTAGAGACCAATCGAGCAAGTCCTGAAGTTACCCGATGTAGTCCAACAAAGCTTCTTGAACTGATGTATCGACAACATACTTCTTAAACATTGTCAGAAGAAGATTTCAGCAGTTGCATTGCTCAATGCGGCAATCTGGATGTTTGGTCCTTCTAGTTTGAAGCCACATGAAACTTGCCTTAAATTAGCAAGAACCTGCACACACTCATGTTCATTACAATGATAAGGAAACTGTTATATAACTTCTTGTTATGTGGTGGCTATTTTTTTATGTTTTTTGTCAGAAGAAGAGCTTCATTGATTTAAGGTTTACATCACAACCAATTTTCTTGTGATTTACTCTTTACATTTAAATATTGCAAGTTATTTGAATATGTTGATCATTAAGTGCTATTTTGAGTACACATCCATTAAGTGCTATTTCAATATGTTCAAATGATTGTTCAGCCAGTAAAATAAATACTGTACAATTAAAGAAAAGTTGGCTACCTTCTATGTGTTTTTTAAGGTTTAGGAGATTAAATTTAACAATGTTCATAATTAAGTATTACAATGTGTGTCATTTAATGTATAATAATTTCAACTTATGCATTAACATGTGTGCCATCTATCATGGTGATATTCAAGATTATGCCTGATAATACGTTATGTCTAATGTATTGTAATTTCTTTTTCCTATACTAATTAGGACTAGATGTCATTGCACAGGGTCCAATGAATAGACTTCTCTTGACGTTAATTATTAAAATATATAAAATGAAAGTGGTTAATCTAATATCCAAATAGTTTATGTTAGTACAATTCTTTGACCAACATAAATGACATACATTGCAGTAGCTCCATTTTCACTTGGTCTTTTAAATTTCCGAAGGCTATTAACTAAGCCTAATAGTCAACAAAATCTTAATAAAGTTGATCAGAAAAATGGAAACATTGGTTCCTAAATAAGGAAGAGGCACATGTATTTGCATACACACATACAGATATAGGTGGATGAGGTTGTAATGTTGTATGCTACTACATGCAGTACATATCCATAAAAACCAGGATGCAGGTGAAGAATATAACAAATGAAAAAGGGTTTTGCCACTAACAAAGAATACCCCTATGTTTACTTTTAGGTTGTTGGGGGTGGGGATTAGATAGAATACAAGGTTTGTACTCAACAAATCAAAGGACCTTCAACTGTGCACAATTCACCCTAGGCATTATAGTGGACTATAGAAAGTAAATTGTGTGAGAGATGTTGAAAGATACTAGTGTAAGACTTTCATTAACTTCATGAACACACAGTAATGTCTTGGAGGGAAAGTTATGTAACACATTAACTGATAGTCATCTAACAGAAACTCACAGTTCTTTCAGTTGTCCCAGGTGGCCCATCAAGGATCTTAATGCGAGCCTTGGTCTCCTCACAAAGTTTCTTAATGAACTCCCCTTTCCGACCAATGATACCACCGACCTTTTGGGCAGGAACCAACATCCTGAATACATTTTCACCAGGCCAACCAGGCCATTTCTTTTCTTCACTAATACCACCATCATTCTGGGAGCCTTGTAACTCCTTGGAAATATGGGAGTAATCTGTTACATTATCTGCATCCTGCAAATTATTATCAGCATGAACATTATCTAAGTCAGGATTGTTGTTAATGTCATGCCCATTGTCTGCATTGAGGACATTCTCAATGTCTGGCAAGCTATCAAAATCAAGGCTGCCAGATATGCCTTGCAGAGCCTCTGCGATGTTCAGCTTATCTGCATTGTTCATGTCATCAAACCCCTGCAAACTGCCCATATCATGAACACCAATAATACCCTCCATGTTGTCAATGTTGTGTGTATCAACCATGTGATTCATGCTCTGCATGTGATCTGTTCCTTGCTCCCCAAAATTTCCCTCAGCCATTTCTGGAGCAATGATGCAAACCATTTAGCCTATGTTTGTATCTCATAAAAAGCTAGGTAAAGGAAAGAAAATACTACAAACATATTTTTACGATTGGTTCAACCTCGAAAAATCCAAGAAAAGTTAAAAAGTACTAGTACTTTGAATATTGTTGTTAACTTTACATTATACATAAGTCTGGATTTCCTAGTATCCATAAATAAATGCTTAGTACGATAAATCTAAACAATTTCCATCCAATATTTTATTTTTCACTACATTTACTTTCCTTTCAAATTTCCCTAGTCCTTTCCAAGCATATCCTTAGTACATATCCAATAATCCTTATAACATACATCTTGTATAGAGTCTAGGTCATCGACAACTCTCAGATTTGGATTAAAGTTTGGCATGCTTGTGGAAATTTAAAAAAAAAAAGGAACACCTTTGATTATTAATAACATTAATTGGCTTTTAACAAAAATAGTATCCAAAAAAAGTAAATTTGGGTCAAATTTAATAATCTCTCTATATATATAAGCTGAACCGCCATGATGACGTCACTATAACATCATCATCATGTCAGCACGGGATGATGTGCCACTTGCTCACGCTTAATCTGCAGAATTTTGGCTCTCCTACGTACGAAGGCAAAACTGTCAGCGTATTGGTTGGTCACTAAATTACAGATTATTACAACTCCTTAATGTAGAAAATTGTTCATCGTTTAAATGAAAGAACAGATGAAGAACGAACCTCAACAACACCCTCTAAGCTTGATCTATTCACTGCTGATAAGATATAAAAAGATATGTAAGAACAAACAAAACCAGATGCGGTAAAATAAGAGCCTAGTTAGTAATTATCGACAAACCTCGATTTATTAGAGGAACGGCGTGGTGTAGATGGAAGAGGAGATGGAAACGGAGAGAGTCGTAAGATGGTACTATGGTAGAAAACTAGAAATGCAGACGGAAGTAGGGTTAAGTTTATTCCAGATATTGGGCATGTGATTTTCTAATTGGACTTGATCAAACACTTCTCAAACACATTCTACATGTTTGTGTAACATTCATTTATCTTTCGAGATAAAAGGGTCAAATTTGACACTACGATTATATGAAAATCTCATATTGAACACTAAAATTTTAAATGGATTAAATTAGACACTTTAGTAGTTGTGTATCTCACATTGGTCATAAAAGTTTAAAATGGGTCAAATTTTATTAAAAGCTACAAGTATTCCTTTTTTTCTCTTGATTTTATATACCTAAAAAATAAAAACAAAAACTTAATTCATGTATTTAGATTGAGACTGTATAATTAGAAGTTTTAATTAAGAAAATTTATTATAATGTAATTGAATTCTTTAATATTGTTAAATCAATTTAATAAATTGATATTTCTTAAGGTTCCATAAAAATCATATGAATGAAAAGTCTTAAATATACTTTTAAATTGTTTTTTTATCGAATATATTTTTAAATTGTTAAATATAAGAAGTTATTAATTAAAATCAAAATATATATTCTAAAACTTCAAATTAAATATTCCAAAATTATATATGTAATCAAATTAGTTTATTTTCACCAAAAAGGAAAGAAATATAAGACTAAGGATTTTTATTAAAGGAAGAAGATCGAGAATCATAAGCGACTGTTCAAAAACTATGAATTGTGAAACTTCAATGTCTAATATGAGATACATATGTAACCTAGTGTCCAATTTGGTTCATTTGATACTTTGGTGTTCAATATGAGATTCTCATAAAATCATAGTGTCCAATTTGAGCTGTATCCCCTTATCTCTTTCTTACTCAACTATAATCATACATTTTCATTTTAAAATCGTTAAAATGGTTTGAACGTGCTGAAATTAATAAAATTCTACCTGAATTGGATGACTTCAATAATTTACTTATTTGTGAAAATATTATATTTATTAATTATTAATAATAAATAAAGAAAAAAAATTATGAAAAATAACTTCAACAAAAGGAATTTAAGACTCACTTTTGTTGATTATTATATAATTAAGCGCGCAAAATTAATACTTATGTGATTGATCATCAAAGTTGACTTATAAAACTAATACACTTAAAATATTAACAACCAAATAGACTCTTAATGCCTTTAAGCTGGAAAGTAAATGATAAAGTTAGTAATAAAAATTCAAAACTAATATGTTTTAAATTTCATAAACCAATCTAAAATTTAACCCCGTGAGGCCGTGATTGAAGCACCTCATTTTCCCGTTGGTAGCATAGCTTTGTCTCCACGAGGAAAATAATGGACGGCCAATGCGCCTGAATAATATTCGTTAAAGCCTGTGTCATAGCCGGATTTCCCAAGATCCTACAATTCCAACTTATAACGCTCATAATCCCTATTGGGAAAGCTACGAGTCACACTGCCAGACCAAGTGGAGCCACCGCTGGAAGAAAAAAAAATAGGATATACCTAGAAAACTACCACCATTTTGTATTGTAATGGTGAGAAGAGCAAAAGGGTTCACAAGTAGTTGATACTAGAATGAAGAACCGCAATCTGCATGGCTGGGAGTCTGGCTGGCTGGTGAAAGTGCAGAGCAAAGAGGCAAAAAAAAAGTCATGTGTCCTGAACCGACAGGCTGAGCACCGAGAAGGACCATAGCGGCACTACCGCGGCAGCCAACCAAGCATAATAGAATCTCTATTATTCTTAATAACTAGATTTTAAATGAGATAAAGTCAAATTGTTGCATCTAAACAAGAAGTGAGTTACTCCTAGTATAAAATAGTAAAATTCAATGGAGGAACTACTGACAGTAAATAATTATCCTTAGCAAGGAAATAAAATATGTAAAGAGGCACTTAGTAGCATGTGGAAAACATAGTGTTGATAAAAAAAAATTGAAGAGTGCTATTTTAGATTGAGTATTTCTTACCGAAGATCTATAAATGTATTATGTAACACCGGACCTGAATTTCACAATGAGAAATTTTTTCATCAAGAATGGAGTTACAGGAGGCGAATTAAGACTAAGAGTAGTCTTACTAATGAGGAATATAATTTTCTTGTTTAAAATTTATAAAAGATTATTAAACCAGACGTGGGACCCACACAGGAGAGTACGTGTAAAACACTGGAAATGTTCACCTATAACATTGGGTGAGTTAGATGTGCACCTCGATATGAAGGTATGGTAAATTTATTTTTACGTCTTAACTTTTATAGGTAAAGTAAATGCGGTGTGGGACCCATCCACATCGGGACGGGAACCACCCGAGAGATTTCGGGACCCCGTATACTATTTAATGTGATCTAAAAAATACCATTAATATAGTAGGAATGGATCGTGGACCCCAGAGATATGAAGAACTGTTAGAGATATTTTATGTTGTGATCAATGTTTATTTTTATAGGTCTCTTGTTGTATTCAATATAGAGTAGAATAGCCTCAAATAGCTAAATGTGCAAAAGTGGAATATATGGGCCTCCTTGATTTAAGGGCCTAATCATGAACTAATATTGAACATTCCCGAAAAATCCATGTGCTTTATATCAAGTTTAACTTTTAGTTTTCACATTCTGAACTTCATAAAACAAATCTTTTTGTGTGAATATATATTTCACCGTATTTATTACTACAATTGACACTTATATTGTTGCAATTCGAGCTAATCAAGTTCTTGGCGACGTTACCGGGGACTGACTTGTTTTATAAAGTCCATTATCCCAAAAGTTCTTTTCAAATTTTACTCATTATTGTGTTTAATATAATTTTTTGCAAAAAATACTTGTGTTTGCATGCCGTTAAGAAGTCAATGCTCTATATCTCGAATCTCTTGACTTTGAAATTGAGTAAAAGACAATATCAACACTAAATGAGCAAAAAGTACATGGTGTTGTGGCCACCAAGTCATGCATTGTGCTTAGAAAGCGGCTAGATAATATGAGTAGACAAGAGTTCCATATCACACTTGCATGTTCCATCGGAGGTAATCCGCTTAACTTCATATCCAAATTCTATGGACGCACCCAAGGAACCCTTTTGGAACCCCAAATATGTTTTATTTTTATACTTAAGATAAGAGAAAGTCGCATTTTTGATTCCTCAATTCGTACTCATATTAAAATGTGATCCCGCAATCATTCAAATTTTTGTAAATATCATCCTCGCTCATGCATATTATTAATCCTTGTGTTAGCTAAAAAAATACACATGACAAGGACAACATTTACAAAATTGTGGACAATTTGGGATCACATTTACCCATTTTGACCCTTACCTAGCACTACGATTACGTTGACAACAATCATCTTTCTACTATAGCCTCACGGAGAGGGTTTTGGCATGGTCCCACTCCTTTTTGTATCCTGTATTTTATTTTTATTTGTTGGGTTTGATATGATTCATATGAATGAAAAGAAAAATAAGAAAAACAGTAATTTGGAGCAAAATTACAGAACCGTCCCAGTTGGATACAAAGTATCAATATCAGTTCCCACATAGTACATACTAACGTACATAGAGATGAACGATCTACTTTACCAGCAGAAGTAATTAGGACCATTGGAGTTTACCGACTATATCCAAACCCTGGAAGATTGATAAAAAACAACACACCCACTTTTGGACCTAGCTAGGAGCTAACATTCTCCTCACGAGCCTCTCTAGTTTGTACTATATGCTCATGCCTAACCAATTTACAAACATGCTATGTCAATAAACATAAACTGCACTTATGGATATATATCATCCATCCTAGACCAGGGATACCCTAGATTATGTAATTTATATTAGGCCTAGTCCATTATTTCACGTATCTGCCCATGGTATTTCATAAGCCCAAGTGGTCTTTTATATATGGTGGTAGCCTTGTATTGTAAAGTGGGGGTTACTCATTCTAACTTAATAGACAATTACACTTTTTTCTAGCTCATCTCTCTAGTCTAGATATTGCATAGATATTATACTTCACGTACTTTTGTAGGATAAAAAAAATCAGGAGTGTTGAAATTATCGTGGAGAAAATACTGATACTTCAAGAAATTGGAACTCTAGGACCATATTGAACACCATCGATGGAAGAAGGCGGAAGAAAAGGATGTCTTCTTTATGAAGTTAGAAGTCTACGACCATAATCCAACACCATCACAAAATCTTTTGTTGATGTACCGATCCTCAGTGACAACCTATCTGAACCACTACTTCTCATTTGGATCCAGTGATCAATTAAATTATTCATCTGTAATGTTGGCACAACCAATTGTCCCATGCATCTAATCTCTACCTGAGTATCAGTAAATCATATTGTTGTTAGTAAATCAAAGCCTACAATACAAAGGTAGATTCATTATAATAATATTAGATCAAGTGTGGATGCATTCCTGAATAAGACCTCTCGTAGTATTAGCCCACCATTGTGGCATTTTGATTGATTAGTATTTATGTATTTCTATTAGTTTTTGGAATCCATTAAGCTCATTGTATGGTCATCCAATTCCAACAAAACTGATTAATATTGAACATTTTCATGCACACCCATAAAAATGTGCATGAAAATAGAATATAATTCTAATGAATTGAACAATTGTCTCTTTGTACTATACAAAAAGGTCAAATAAGCCCGTGTAATATGTGACAGTCTTCATTTAAGTCCATGTACTTAAATAAGTGTCACATACATCTATTTACTTATAATGAGTCATTTAAACCATATGACGTGAAGGTGACTGGTTGTGGCTATTTTTATTTATTTATGTGGCACTTACCTTTTATTTCTTTACAATTTTGTTTTTCATTTCTCTTCTTTCCATTTTGTCTTTTCTTTTCTCCTTCTTTCTTGGTGCACTGTTTTGTCCACCTTCCCCCATCCGACTTTTTTTCCCCAATTTTTCTTTACCTTAATTTCATGTCTTCATCAAACATTTATACTCAACCAAAAAAAATGTTTCTTCCACGTGTTTTTCCATACTTGTGGTGTTTCTTCCACATATATTAGTTGGTCACAATAAATTAAAGACTCCCAAAAAAAGAAGGTGTAAACTAACAGTAGATATTCAGATCAGAATACATGGTAGGTCACTTAGCTGGAATTCATGGTGAACAAGAATGGTGGTCAAATGTGTTCATAGCTTAACTGGAGATAAAGACAGTGGTCTGACGAAAAAACAGGGGCTTTGAGCTCCCTAATTTAATAAGGCACCCTTTGGACGACCCATCATCCCCACCCCCATAGTAACTACAAGATCACTCCATTGATTGAGAAATGAAAGCTCAAAAACAAGGAGCTATGAGGTAGCCGGTGAATTTTCAGAATTTCCCCATTTATTTTCTTTATTTTAATTTTAAATTTTTAATCTTTCAACTCCTATATCCATAAGAAAATATGTATAAAGAAAAGAAGAAGAAAACATAGTGAGGGACCTTACCTTGCGGACCAAATTGAACGTGATGTAGTTAAGGGGAAAATGGATGATGGCTATGGCTTATAGATTGAATAGAAAAAAGGGGGCAGCTCTTGAGAATGTGCGATTGAAATGAAACAAAAGGGGGGAACGCCACCTCAAAAAATAGAGATGATTTCGTGTTGCTTAAAATGCCACATGTGATTTTACCTTCTAAATCAGGTCACCTCCAAGTTATTAGGTAATTAGGTTTGTATGACTCTTTTTTACAAGTATGTAGATGTATATGACAATTATTTAAGTATGTGGACTTAGGTGATGGTTATATAAGCTTAATAATGGTTTTATTAATGGTTAACACTTAATAATATCTCCTCTAAAAAAGCCTCATATTGTCACAATCGATTAACACTCTAAAAATCAAATCAATATGATAATGGATAGATTAGATATCCATATGTGGAAGTTCCATTAATAGATAGGATTTTATTAAATAGCCCAGATCATACATGAATTGTATTTCTAGATATAAATAATCTTTAGTGGATTGTATGTCAATTACTAGTAATAGTTCATTTTTAATCCACCATATGACATTATAAAGTGCAGAGTATCTGCTTTTAAAGTTCAAACATTCTGTTAATACGATGCTTCCTGAGTAACTCTCATCGAGAGGGAGCAAGTTGTAAAGGAGATAAGGGAGTATGACACAATAAGACATGGCATAGATACAATGTAAAAGCCTTTAAACTTTCCATGGAAACAAGTATTCTGCGAGATAAAGTAAAAATGCAACAGTAGTCATTAAACTCCGAACCAACCCCATTAAAAAAGGTTATGTGATTTCAACCGGTTTGACGTTGAAGCTAAATTAGCTAGCTAAAGCTCACGCCAAACACAATTGATAACAATGATACATAAAACTAATCACCAAAGGATGAGGGTCATACCTCATCATCATGCATAAGTTGTAATTTCCTCACAAGGTACTTTTGGATGAAAGAAACAGGAATGCTCCCATCCCTGGCAAAAAACGTACAAAATAAAAACACAAACCATATTGGATTTTATAAGCGAAAACTAACATTGGCTAGTTCGAAAGAATCCTCGTAAGAAATGGAGTGCTTATGTTACAATTTAAATGTAAATCACTTAAGCGTCAACATGGCATCTGGTTTCCTTATCAAGTATTTTGGGGGTAATGCACTTCAATTTCGATAGTTTGTTTCCCAAACTCAATCCTTATGGGAAAACGTATATGTTTGTTATAACCTTATGCATATTTGATTCGGAGCTAGGGAACTAAAACATGAAGCATGGTAGGAGAAAGGACTATTTATGAGACTATTTTCCAGCATTTCATGACAATTATATATACCCTTAGTTCTTGAATCACCGCCCTTAATATGCAATAATTGAGCAATAATGCACATTGCCTTAAGCTGAGCTGAGTATATCATATGAAGACCAAGCGTATATAAATCATCTATGTTTTCATCATTAGTTTATCAGAGGATAAATAATGTGCAGTTGCATTTTGTGATCTTTTTTAATTATGTGAAACAACTGCCATGTATTATTTCCTTCTTAGAGGTTCCAATAACAACATAGAGATTAACATGTTCGTTACATATCAATTTGTTTCTACTTAAAGGGATGTGATGATTGTTAAATTATATGTGAAAAGGGAAGAAAGTAACCTACTTTATTCTTAAGTAAGTAGGAGAGATCTGGGGCAATGGTGCATCTCCTTCTCTGAAAAAAAATATGAGATATATGATGCATGAGTAAATATAAAATCTTCAATCATTATTAATATACTATGATAGGAAAGCAAAATCTTACTGTTCTTTAGATGCCGCTAATGAGAACCAGATTGGATGATTCTTTTCATATTCACCACTTGCATTATCAATCATAACATTAGGAAAACTATGTGAGTCCACAAAAGCTGGTGTTTTCTTGCAAATTCTTCTCAATTTTTTAGGTTTTCCTGAAACTGGCGTAGGACCATTGCTTGCCTTTTCATTTTGAACATTGAAATTGTGTCCATTCTTTTTTGTATTACTTTCACGAACATGTCGATCAATGTTAGAAACATGTGAAGGTTCTAATTTGAGAGCAGAACCATGTGGCATAAATCTTGATGATTTACTCCTATTTGCAACTTCAACCAAACAGTTTAAAGGTTTCCACATATCAACACTAATTTTCCACTCTTCAGTGCCATTTTCTACATCATTATGAGTTGTAGGATAACTAGAAGGCTCAACACTTGTAAGATTCTAGAAACAAACATGAGTTAACTATATGATCATGTTAAAGAAAATAGAAATGTCATAATAACACATGTCAATACTTGGAAATCATTAAGAGTATTTTAACCTACCTTTCTCACATTATGGGTAAGTTTGTGCAAAGTCATATCAGGTACTCTAGATTGCTCGAGGTTATATTCAGCAGAACCTTCCTCTTTGTTGATAAACTTCTCAATATAAAGAGTGGATTGCCGTAATGGTTTTCTAGAAATAGATTTAGATCTTCCGGTCATCCCAGATTGAGTAATACCAGATTGTGTGGTTACTTTGGGTGCACTAACCACTAATGATGACAATGATCTCTCTTTTCGCTTCAGAGGGAATGCAACAGAACGTATAACACCACATGTTTTTACCTTTCTCCTCTTAAAAGGAAATGTCTTCGCTCTGACAGCATGCATATTCTTATCTGGCCTGTACACAAAGAGAGAAATTGATTTATTTCAACCTTTATATTCCATACCAAAAGAAGAATGTGTATGCATAAATAGAGTTTATGTTGGTAAATGGGCGATCGACATTACACATGGGGTGTACATGCTGATGCAAATGGTGTGAGTGAAAAACGTTCAGGTTCTTATCTATAACCAAGTTCCTCTCATGCCATATACATTTGTTTTTATGCGAATCAAGAAGGTAGCTTATGCACCTTGGGAAATCTCACACTGTAATATATACAAAACGTAATTACATTTGTTTTAGAAAGAGGAGTGCTAATATCATAAGCAATCACTATGGTCATAGTTCATAATCTTTATTACCCATTTCAATATGATTTCATCCCATCATATCAACTTAGAGGAAATACAGCACATCGGCTGAACTTTCAGTGTTCTACAACAGTTTTAAGGGAACCAATAACTACTAGATTTTTTTATTTGCACCTACGTATTTTTCCTACGGTTTTGATCTAAGCGTACCAAAAAAGTAATTTTTTTGATTTTATATTGTTTTAATACCAAATTGATACGTTTATTGATAAACATTTGAGACTTTGGGCAGTGGTGAGCCGCAACAATCAAATCTTTTTCATCGACTGAACTTTCAGTGTTCTACAACATTTTAAGGGCACCAATCACTACTAGATTTTTTTTTAATTTCCGGCTACCTATTTTCCCAGCGGTTTTGAACTAAGTGTACCAAAAAAGTAAATTCTTCAATTTCATATTATTTTAATACCAAATTGCTACGATTACTGTTAACTTGATCTAAATAATCTGAAACTTTGTGGGCAGTGGTGAGCCGCAACAATAAAAAACTTTTTATTATATTATTTGCTGCGGTTGATTTGAAACTGCATCAAAAGGTGAAAAATATGAAATGTTATTTATTGCGTGTAAAGCTTCACCACATCAAATAGGTTCGAAAGATACTCCAATTGTTGCGCTTAATTGGAGCCGCAACAAATAGAAGAAAGTTTATGAGCTTCCCTCCGTCGTTCTTTACCACACTCGGATGTCCAATACCTTGCATTTCTTCTATCGACTTCCAGGAGTCCTCACCATGCTACCTCGGTCTTGCAACGCCTCTGCCACTCATCCCGCTGCCTCGCGCCTTTGTCTAGCACCACATTCACCAACCATCGTTTCCGCCTAGCAGTGCTAAAGAAAGCCTCCGCCGCCTAACAATGCCACCGCCTCCATATAGCAACGTCACTGCCTCCAAATATTTCTTCTCCTCTCACTTCAGGGTATGTTATTTGTTTTTATGTATATCAATGATGTGTATTTGGTGAAATTCTATTTTTATTACGTGGTCAATATCATTACTATAGTAGGTCATACGGATGTAAAGAAATCCTCTCATTTTGATGAATTGGAAACATCTTCTCGCCCGGGAGGAATTCAAACTCTTCAATTTCGGAATGGTTAATTTGTGGTGTTACAAAGTCACTTAGTTTATATCTTTTTGAAAAAATCGTTTTTTAAAAAATAGTTATTTGTTGTGGTTCTAAACCGCAACAAACCGTTTTCCTACTATTTGAAGCGCTATCAATTGCTGCGGTTCGGAACAACCACGAATAGATAAAAATAACCGCAACAAATAGCTGTTTTTCTAGTAGTGAATAATTTGGTTATAAATTATTAATCCTACACCAATAAGATCACTGTCAAAACATAGAAGAGTGAAAAGAGGTTATGAAGTTTAAACCACACATAGCAGCCTCCTTTCGAGTATTATCTATTATCATCTCAAGATCCATAAGTTCATTGTTCTTTTTTTTAACAAGACAACTTTAAATTGATACCAAAGCATTCAACAAGGGAACAAGAAGATAAAAGGACCACTTCCAACCACCGATGACCGAACCTCGAACCGGCCTAGAGCCAATCACCCAGAAAAAAACAATATGGCTCGTTGATCCTGTAATGGGTCTAAATGAGCCTAATGTGGTTAGAGTAAACCTCTCATCACCTCAACCTAATGCAAGAGTCTGGCAAAAATAAATGTGCATCACAAACAAAACAACATGAAAATCAAAGTAAAAACCATTGTTCTAAAACTCACTAGGCGCTAGTCGGACGGTTGAGGGGCGCCTAGGCGGCCGACCGGACCGTTTTTTGGCCGATTAGGCCGATTTTTTGACCGACTAGGCCATCTAGGCCTCTACAGTTAGGGCCGACTAGGGCGCCTAGGCCGATTAATCGGTCTGCCTAGGCCGATTTTAGAATAGGGGTAAAAAAAACATCCAAACAAAAATCAGAAATAGAAATAGTCTTCCAAACCCTAGTCGCACAATTCCTGCATGGCGGTGGTTCAGGAGGGGTGCGGATCAATATCTCTTCGTCTTGTTTCACCCGTATGAGATTGCCACCACGGGCAAAACATTGGATTGTTGTCGGGCTTCGCAAACCTCTGCAATTCCAGTTGAGGACACTCATCTTTTTTTGTTCTTCAGTCGACGGGGACGCAGGGACTAGCCGAGCCAGGTGACCGGAGCCACCGTCGAAAAAACTCCTAGGAATATCCTAGAGACGACCACAGTTTCTTTATTGCTAATTTAGTTCTCAAACTCCTTGCCTTCCATCAGCGCATCCCCTCTCGTGAAGCGCTGGTCTCCTCGCAACCCTTCTACTGGTACAATGCTGCAATCGAAACGGTCTTTCTCAAGGATCGCCGCCGCCGTTAGCTAGGGTTCAGCGTAAGACAGATAGTTGAGACCGATCCATAAGTCAATCAAGAAGTAAGAACTCATAAGTTCATTATTCTATCTAGAGGTTTCGGCCAACCCAATCTTTGTCACCCAAAGGTTATTAAATGTTTTTAATAAAGAGGTAGTTTTTACTTTATAAAAATTTCATAGATAATAATTAATTTAGTAATAAATCATAAATATATGTACTGAAAATGCTACCCCAAGGCCACACATTTGATGCTTAAGAAATAGGGAGAGATATTGAGAGTTAAGGAAAGTCTCTGACCTGAGCTTCTCCATCGGGACACAACCCAATTCAATTTTGCATATTGGGCAACATTGAGAGTCCTCTTCTGATAGCTTCTTGTATATGCATTTCCTACAAACTGGGTAACATATAAGCAAGAAGAATAAAACCAGTGTTATCCACAAGATTTCATGTTGATTGCATATAAAAACTTACCAATTTCAAGTCTATATGTTGTGTGATGTGGTGCATCTAGATTTTCAACACCGTAGAAAGGAAGAACAATGCATTCTTTTTTTACAACATAAAGTAATTGGACATTCAAGCTCCCTTTGGTAGTCAAATTCCGCAAGTTTATTGGGCTCATCATATATATATATATATATATATATATATATATATATATATATATATATATATATATATATATATATATATATATATATATATATATATATATATATATATAGTCGTTGACTTTTGATTATTTGGCAGAAATAAATCTTACAAACATTATTCCTTTCAGATATATATATATATATATATATATATATATATACTCAACATATATACTCAATTATTTTCATTCATTTCGACCTGCAAAATCCTACCTATGGAGCCCTCAATTATTATTATTATTATTATTATTATTATTATTATTATTATTATTATTATTATTATTATTATTATTATTATTATTTAATTATTCAAAAGAGAAGATAGTGAAGTGCACTCAATTAATTAATCTAAAATCCAGATCATTAAATGGAAATCCGACTTTGACATTTTATATAAACACACATCTATTCATCACAGAGAGAGAGAGAGAGAGAGACTCACATGTATGTAGACATTCGGAAATAGTAGTAGCCTCTCTGAAGAGCCTGTTGCAAAGGTAACATGTCATGCAAGCTGCAATTGTCTGTCTTCTAACCTTCACCACTTGATTCGACATCTTCAAGGTTCAATCGTCGAAAACACCTCTATCCACAATGACTTTTAATTCTCAATTCTCAACCTGGTCTAGTGTATGCTAGCTACAAAACACGAATCGTGAAATTTATGTCCAGAATTCCTCTCCTTTATATGCATAAAAATAAAGTGAAACAGAACTAAGAAATTGAAACAATACAACAAAATATGATGGATTCAAGACGCGGTGGATAACAACCTGAGAATATGCAGATGATGATTGGATTGATTGAGGCCAGCAGGAGGTGTAAGATATGCCAGAGATTATATATTTATGTACTTATGTGCTTATGGATGAAGATGAAGTTGAGAAAGACATTTGCTCATATAATAATAGCATGAAAAATCCAAAATGTAGTATACCTTATCTTTTTAAGACTTCTTTTTCATTTTACATTTTAGAAAAGGTAACTACTTTTCTCTTTGCCATGTGATTGGGTGTGGAAGGTCAATATCTTCAAAGAAGTGGTGCCGTCGCGGGAGGGGAATGCAAGTGAGTGTGTTCAAATTATTATTAGAGTAGAAAATATTTGCGAGAATATTCTTGTGTTTTGTATCCCAATCACTTCTTTTTATAATATTTTATTCTAATAGCTTGGCTTCTTAAAAACTTCTTTGCATATGAAAATTGCTTATTTTTCTTTTAAAGATTATTCATCAAGGTATCTTAAATAACAATATCTTAATTGCTTATTTCGCGCGGACACGTTCTTATTCAATTGCAGTAGTTTGACTTTCACATTTAATAATTCACAATTGTATTTGTTAGTATTCTTAACCGTTGTTATTAAGATTATACACATATATTGATAAAAATTTTAATAACATATTGATGTGAGTTTTCTCGCACTTAAAATAGATCGTAATATAGTGGTGTAAGTACGAGTATCATCTCCACAGGGACGGACAAAAGGGAATCAAGAATTAATTAAATTCAGCGATTAAAAAAAAGAAAATAAAATAAAAGCGTCGTGCGAGATTGGTTGATTTGGAAAATAAAACTAATGCGAACAATTAAACTAGGGGGTTCTTTCTAATTAATGACGAAGGGAACAGGGATCGATTCCGGGGTAACCAGATTTCTGGCAGATCAGGCCTAATTACATGAAATTAATTTAATTGAGCCTAGCTAATCATTACTAAGTTCTTACCGCTCTCGCGGCGTAGAGTACAATAATGTAGGGGACCAGGCCGATCTATCATGCGACAGGATCCTAAATTATTGCCAAGACGAGCGAGCTTACGGCCCCTTAATCGCTACTAATCTCTTAGCGAACGATTAAGTGTGTGTGAATGTGTCCTAGAACAAATTAGATCTCTCTTAATTTATTCTACATGCAATTGTAATTCTAGTCGCGATTCTAGGTTACAAAAGATATCAATTAAATTATTCAAACACAAATTAAACGGCATTCATGCAATTAAACCGACAAGAATCTAGCCATACATCATGATCAACCCCTTCATCAATCCCAAATTCCTAATTAAAACTACTCACAATTCATAATTGAAGAATCAATAGAATTGGAATAAAAAGAATTAATTGTCATTAATTAAAAAGGTGGAACTTACAAAGAATCCCAAAAGATTGATGAACAAGGCTGAAAAGCCCTCTAAAATTCGTGCTAGGCACTCTCTCTAAGCTCCCCCCTTGAAAATGGGGGTTTACAGGCTGTTTTAATAGAAAAATCGAGTGAAATTTGAGCTGAATTAGGATTTTCGGAGCCAGACACGATGCCAGGCACGATCGTGCCTTCGATCGTGCCTCCGGAGCAAAAACGCGCATTTTGGGCAGGCACGATCGTGCCTCCCTCCAGGAACGATCGTGCCTCCCTCCAGGAACGATCGTGCCTGGCTGACAGTAACTCCGCGGTGCTTTTCTCTTCAGGCACGATCGTGTCTGACTTTGAGGGCACGATCGTGCCTACATAACTTCCGAATTTGACAAAACTTCCTTCATGCAAGTTGTAGATAATGAAGTCCTCTATCCACCCTAATTTGCCGAATGTGATTTGAATCATCCAATCAAGAGATATGATCAAAACGATGGAAGGTGTCTTTCTGAAATCGCAGCAGAGATCATCTGACTTCATCGTCTGTTTTCACCTTCTTCCTCTCAGATTCTCGCAAAGGTGTCTTCATATGATTTGTATCCCTTGAAGTTGGCTTTCCTATGGAACTTGAATCGTGTCCATTGGTTGTTCCTACAAAGAGATATGCTTGAACGATTGACAGAAGGTCATCCTGATCGTCGTTTTCAAGAAACTGGGAGGAGAAGGAACAGGAGGATCCAGCAGGAGAGGATATGGCTTTGGACAAGCAAAAAAACGGGGAGCAAGCGGGTCTCAACTAGTAGATCCGCCGGATTGTTCAAAGATGCGGGATGGATTGTTTCGTTGGTTTATGGTGGTGCATTCGAATTTAGAGAGATTTTTTTATTTCTGCTTTTTTAGTTGTTATTTTTTTCAGACTGACTATTGTGTTGTCTTGATTTTTAATTGTAAGACTCTTGCATTAAGATTGAGTGATGACATACTTCAATCGTCTTTGTCTCATGTATGTCTATTATAGGATCAATGAGTTATATTGCTTATTACAAGGTGATTAACTCCGAGTCTGGTCCAAGGGTTGATGGTTGTATGTGGTTCCTATATTGTTTAACCTCTTCTTAAACGATAATGCTATAGTATCAATGTAAGCCCCTCCTTCCAAAAAGAAAGTTGTTAAATTCAAGTTTTTTATTCGCGGGTAAAAATATAAAATTTACTTGATCTAGTATCCATACACAACGCCATCATTTATTCACATCTATATAACAAAAGTAAACAAGGTGCATCATATTTGATTATTTACAAATTAAAGATCGTGCAAACTAAGATAAAAATTATTTAACATTTTTTTGTTTGGACGAGAAATAGATAAAAAAAAATAGCAATACCTGAAAAAAGAGATAGGGAAGAAATATGCAACAAAGAAATGTGACAAATTTTGGCAAAAATTATGAATCTCATTCGACAGTTGACACGAAGGGATTAGATTGCAGTTTGTTCACGATATAATTCATAAATTGTCAAACTTGTATACATTAATTAATTATAGAATCACATGTTAAGCATTTTTTCAATTCCCTTGATGCAAATTACTTTGATTTTAGAAAAATAACTTTGTATGGCATGTAGTCTAATATGTAAGCCACAATGTCGGAAATGCTACAAAATTGAAAATGAATGAATTATTCATTGCTTGTTTGTTTCCTTGATTTTTAAAAGTAAAATATATTTTATATGTTATTTGTTTTGTCTTTATTTCTCACTGTGAAACTGTACATTTATTATTTCACACCTCTTGTTTTTTAAATGCAAAAATGAAGAGAAGGGATCAAGTACTATTTATTCAAGTAGATAACTAGTGAAGGGACATGGTTGTCCTGGAAGGGACATCATTTTGAGACAAGTAGATAACTAGTGAAGGGACATTCCAATAGTTTCCTTAATGATCGTGGAAACAACCTTAGATAATATTATATCCGTTAATACTATATATATATATATTCTTAGTTTTCGTGGAAGAGACATCATCTTGAAACTGTACATTTATTATTTCATACCTCTTAGTTTTCACTCCTCCTCCTATCAATTAAATCATTTTCAAACTCTCATTAAAGCTATCAATATTTTTTCATATTCAAATCCATGGTTAGATTAAATAGATCAAACTTCTAGTCTAGTCATTTTTTATCTTTTAATACTAATTGCGAAACTGATTTATCATTCATTAAATATCACAAAAACAAAGGATGAAGACTAAATGGGGGCGGGGGAGGTATAGAATATCACATGGTGACCAAATACAAAGTACTGAAACTCTTAAACATGTTACATACAATTAATTTAAAGAAATAATAAAAGTAATACATAACTCAATCTCTAATATAAATATGGTTTAACTCTTTGACAATCGATATCAATCCATCAAACTAATAATCAGATACCAAATAAAGTCTATTTGATGATATAATTTTCAAATGGGCTATTTGCAGTCGAAAAATGATTCTGTATCATTGTGAAGCGGCCATTTCTCGATTTGTGTGTGTCATCCTTGTGCAGTGCCTTTATATTGAAATAGTCGATATGATTTATAGTTGTTTCAATAATCAAAATTATTATTAATTTACTTATGATAGTTAACATATATATATATATATATATATATGTATATATATATATAGTTAACTTGCAAAAATCATTTGACGACCTTCCCGATTGAATTTTTGGCTGAAATTTGGTATGGATGAACTAGACTTGATGAGAAACCTACACAAACCATTTGAGCAAAAAATACCACCGGGAAGACCCCCAAATGGAGGAGGCCGGACGGGGGGAGTGGTCCGGCCTGGCCGGACCTGAATAATTGTGTGTATATATATATATATATATATATATATATAGTATTTAGGATCACATACAAACTACTCCTAATTTACAAAATGGAAATTAATCCTAATCGTTCATTTTAATGAGGCAACGGTTGAGATAGGAAAACATTCTCACTAACCACATGTCCGCATGTTTTAGTTAAGGGGAAAAAACTCCCCCAGTAATACGGTAAGTATTAATGCTCAAAAATAAAATCTAACCCTTAATTTTATAATATTGGACGGATGAGATGATTTTGCATTTTGTACAGAAAGCATACTTTGTATCCGGTCTTAACCCTATATATATATACACACACACACACACACACACACAAATGTTCAGGTCAGGAGTTCCTGACCGGAACCGCCGTCCGGACCGCGGCGTTTGGCCGCCTTCCAGGTGGAATATTTTGATGAAATTTTTATCACATGTTCTCCATCAAGTCTAGTTTATCCACAAAACAATTCAGCCAAAAACTCAATCGGGAAGGTCGTCAAATAATTTTTGCAAGTTAACTGGTCTAGAAGATGTATTTTCCGGACCAGTTAACTTGCAAAAATCATTTGACGACCTTCCCAATTGAGTTTTTCGCTGAATTGTTTTGTGGATAAACTAGACTTGATGGAGAACATGTCATAAAAATTTCATCAAAAAAAGCCACCGGGAAGGTGGCCAAACGCCGCGGTCCGGACGGCGGTTCCGGTCAGGAACTCCTGACCGGATCATTACTCATATATATATATATTGATGTTTCCCTTCTCAATATTAAGACTCACTTAAAACTGACAATTATTACTTTATAAGGAACTTTGCTTGGAGGAATAACTGAACTTGACTAAGCAACAATTGGTTAGTTGATTTGAAACATTACTAAATTTAGCGATACGGATCAACTC